CCAGCCCCCCACGTGTTGCTGAGACTGCCAGAAACGGGGTTCTGAAGGGGGCCGAGCTGGAGGTAAACCAAAGCAGAAAACATTGGGTGTCTGTATGAATAGCAACAAACAACCTGTAATCGAACCACCACTAACCTCAAGCTAAATTTTATACATCCAAAATAATTTACACTTCCATTTTGTCTGCTCCTGGCTGGACTCATCCCTGTTATGTAGTAAGAGGGTTTATATATATGTGTATATATACGAAAAGGGGGAAAAACAGCACACAGAAGCTTTTTTCTAAGCGAGCGTGCTGGTTCGTCAAACACGAACTGGCCGTGAAACGGCCAAGCAGATCACAAAGTTCCAGGTGCTCTGTCCCCTCACCTGCCATGAACTAGGTTAATGCAAAACCAGGATGCGCAGACAAATTGGGGAGGAAAAAAAAAAAAGACGGACAGAAATGCCTGTTCTGCGGATGATGTCACCTAAGGCAGGGTGGAGGGACGGGCTGCTGCGTGGGCGCCCAGCGAAAGCATAAGCACAATATTCGATGTGCGTTCAGCCACGGGCTGAAATAGCTGTGAACAGCGGCCACGGCCGGTTGCTCTTGCACCCTTAATGTAAGGAAACATCCTTCCAAAAGGTGAAACGCTGGCGGGTCCATAAATGACAGTCCCACAGGCAGGGATGGATTAAGAACTTCCTATAGCTCCCCAACTATCAACCTCCATTGCAGCCCTCCCACGAAGGCTGCCCCCAAGGGCTTTCGCTGACTTGGCCCGCCCAGAACAGGGAAAAGCAGCAGAATCAGTTTGACTTTTCCTCTGCGCGCCAGCCGCGCTGACGCCCAAAGCAGAGGGGGGAAGCAAAAGGAGAGGGCAAAGGGGCGCATGCTCGGGACCTCCGGGCGCCCGCTTGCCCTCCCTTGCGCCCGCTTGCCCTCCTGCTTCCTCCGGGATGCCCAGACCTCTGCCAGCCCTGCCCGGGCTGCGGCAAGAGCCCGCCGTGGAGCAGCGCTTCCCAGTCCCTGCGGAGCACTGGGAACGTGGGGCGCAGACACAAACCGGGCTGAGGCCTCAGTGTTCACTTCTTACATTTCTTCATTTTATTCTGAAGTGGGGTTTTTTGTTGCTTTTCTTTTGCTCACTTAGCATGAGTAAGAGCGTGCGTTCATTCAGCTGGGCACGCATTCTGTTTGGAAACAGCCTCAAAACCCCTTCTGATGCCCCGGGGGCCGCGCTGAGGCACATCCCGGCGAGGCAGAGGCGCATCCTGACGAGGCAGAGGCGCATCCCGACGAGGCAGAGGCACATCCCGATGAGGCAGAGGCGCATCCCAACAAGGCAGAGGTGCATCCCGATGAGGCAGAGGCGCATCCCAGCGAGGCAGAGGCGCATCCCGATGAGGCAGAGGCGCATCCCAACAAGGCAGAGGTGCATCCCAACAAGGCAGAGGCGCATCCCAACAAGGCAGAGGGGCATCCCGATGAGGCCGAGGCGCATCC